GAATGTCTTTTTTTTCCCGAAAGATGTCATAATTGTTTCAACTATTTCTGTTGATTACCCCAAATGCTTTGACATCTGCGACTGATAGAACTTGGTAAACTACCAAAGTTTGGAAAGTTAGAAAGCTTCCAGTAATTGGTAAATTTAATGATCTAATAATGATTAATAACTTTAGATCATAGAATATTCGTACGAATGGATGGCAAGGCATTATTAATATGTTTACCGAGGCATCACTATATTCCGACACTGCAATTCAAACTAACCTCAATGTTCCGTCAATCCTCAAGACGACAGTCCAAAGTCTCGTCTTCTATAACATTACGTTCAGTCACTTCTCTTTCTCCTTTAACCTCATTTCTTCACATTTTCCTTTTTCTGCATGGTGCCATAATTCATTGTCTATGTCACCGTCCAAATCACGCGACTCTGACGCTACTTGATGAGACAAAAAGGCTGGAGCTGTTTCCACGAGAAGTCTGAGTTAAGTCTTGGTCGTCACGGTACAAGCAACACGAGATTATTGGTGTTGACTATGAGAATCAATCAATCGGTATGGAAATACGTTAAACAAAGTAGAAGATGTTTTGTCAGCGCTTAATACTACCCGCTATTATAACAAATTAAAATTGCTCCTCACTCACGTTGATATTACTTGTCAATTTGCGGAACGCAACCATCATCTGCATTTAATAACTTAATCGACCCCATCTCCGTACAACTAATGTATATGGAATCAACAATATGTGCGCTGATTATGACCGTATTTTTAGCATCTCTACTAAATGGTATTGTTTGAATAAGTCGAAACCCATCTGTAAAAGCAAAATAAAAAGGTCAGTAAACATTAAGATAATATGCAAAGCATATAACTGAATAATTACCAGCATCAAGAGACCATTCGCATACACGAGTTCCGTTGGACCTTCTGTATGAAAGCCTGCTTTATTACCGAGTTTTTGTACACATCTTTTCCCTATCATAAATAAAATGTAAACTCTCAAAGAATCTTCTTCATTTCACATCTCATAAATCTACCAAATGTCTCCGATGACCGGCTTCCATTACTATCTCCTCCTTTGTCAGTGTCTGACGTTATTAGAGAAATATCACCAACAAACCAGTGATAAGCAGTAATAAAGATACTTACCAAACCCCAAGTGGAAGCAACTCGGAATATAGGGGGGTGCAAACAACGGATTAAATAGTTTAGTAATTACTGTTTACGGGTTGAATTCTCATTGGGTAATAGACGGCACGTGAATTGAGAATACTCATTGCATATTCTCTTAAAAACGTATCAGATCATCCATCCATTCTGACTATATAGCATTTCGAAAAACTATATTCAACGATACATTATTAATACCGCTGGCTGTGTTAGCGAATTACGATACGCTGTTCCAATCTTACCATCTCCAGCGACGATGGATTCATTGTCATGGACATCAAAGTGTCAAGAATAGGTTATACTAGTCAAGAACACGAATTATTATTTTCGGTGCTGCCAGACCCAGTTTGTGTTACATACCAGAACATCTAAACGTAAAATCGGCATGATACATAGTCAAACTCGATAAGATAAAGTCGACGGCTGGTGGTATCGGTTTAAGCTATAGAGGTTTTATTTTATCGAGGATTATATGGCATACTGCGGCTTCAACACAAATTGCAGATTGCTACTATTGGTGGAATATTGGGTTATACTGGACTGTTGAAGATTTCCCGCAAGTTCTTGATTTTGATATAAGCGCGTAAGGAGCATGTTCTTTTTTTGTAGTCCCGTTATAGTCTTTCTCGTAATTGATCGGGGTTTTTTACCACCAGATAATGAATTAGATATATTCTTGCGTTTATTTTTAATAGAAGAATCAGCAGTGGTATTTATGGTTTTCGAATCAAGAATTAAGATTGTTTGGTAACACCAATTCTTTAAATGGCAAATTATTTAATTTAAAGAGGTAAATCTTTAACTAGAGGTTTGCTTGTTATAAGCGTGAGAGAATTCTCTTTATCTTACAGTTTTTCGAGGTTTTATAATAAAATTTATATTATGGAGGTATTTTTAATATAAAAAATTCGGGGCGAGAAAATTCTTTATCTTAGAGTGATTTTATCTTAAAGTGACTTTATTTTATCGAGTTGACTATGTAGTTTAATATCAAATTGTGAATTACAAGTATAGTATATTTATGATGTACCACAGCACATACAAAGGCTTAATCGCATTTTTGTCATTGCATACTCGGACTTTCCAACTTTCCTTAATTTATCCATTTTCCCTAGTCTGTTGCAGAAAACGTAACATGGTGGGAATAACGCCATTGAGACAACTTATAATCTGCCAAGTAAATAAGATCTTGGCTTAGCGCAAAAGGGATTTATTGTCCTATTTTAGATCACCGATAGCATATCTTAATCTACCTGTGAAAGCGGCATATAAAAGAAAACGCTATTGAACAAGGTTTGCCCTTGAGTAAACAGATCGTTATTTTAATGGTCTATAAACAGCAAAAAGAGGCTTGGCTCATCACAAAAAATTTAAGGATTCTATTTTAGATACTGATAACGTACCCCGCCCCAAAAATAATGACAAACGAACAAATAGAAAACGCCAAAAGAATAACGTTGTTCTATAGTAAGCGTGATTTTTTAAATGGCTTGTTAATTCCTATTCAGAACTTGACAACGTAATTGCTTGTAAAAAAGTAATTAATGGACGAAAAAGAAACGCCGTCTTGCTTCAAAGTTTATCCGCAGCAAACTTTATCAGTTCCGTTGTAAATAATTGATGACGCAGTTGCTTTGAGCAAATTCTGTGCAAGAGATAACATGATCTGTGCTTCAAAAACTTTGTTCATCCTATTTGAGTTAGTTGATACGCACTCATTCGAGCAAAAGGACCAGGATATGAGACACGAAGTTGTTAGAAATATGTCTTCTCAAATGATGTGCAGTCGAACGTCGTTATACCGAAGGAATTCTGGCTCCCTCATTTTTTAAATAGTAAAATCTCGTTATACCATTGCCGAAGTTTGATGCAGGATTTTTACATGGGCTACTAATCGCTTTATACCGAAGTTTTGTCACGGGATAAAATTGTAGAATAGTGATTGGTTGCAGCAGATAAATTTTGGTCATGCGATTTTTGGTCATAACGATTTTTCGCATCATATGATTTTGACAGTATTAATAGTATGATTTTAGTTGTGTGCCAGTATTTTCGACCCGGGCCTAACTTCGTTATATAGAGGTACCTCACTATACCAAATGTCTCGTTATACCGAATCATGGATGCCTCCCCCGACACTTCGGTATAACGAGGTTTAACTGTAAGCCCCATAGAATATCCTACATTAAACTCAACATTTTTCAGACTCGTTTCATTAATACAGTAATATGCGTGGTAAGTCTGTTGGGAAGTTTTGAATTGTCAGTTATGATACGCAAATAATCTCACCTAGCGTGTGTGCTTTTCTTTTTTCACAGACAATTGGGCTTTCGTAAGGGAAACTATCAGACCAATCATGTTGCATCGCTTTCTTATCTAGATTTCCATCTTTCGATTTTCTACTTTTTTTTCGACAGGGTCGATGTTAAACGAACCGGAGCCAAAGGTGGCTATAATTGAACGGATCGGATAAACTATTAACGTTTTGACAGGCGAAAATCGCCAACATCTGTTGGTGTCAACAATATTATAAAACAAAAGTTCGTTCAAATGTTTTCCTTTTTTTAACTGCTCGTTATAAAGCAAAATATCTGTTGATATTAGGAATAAAGGTAGTGAGGGACACACTTTTTGTGTCACGGACCACCCCTTCAATTTTTATTAATCATGAATAAATTCACAACCGAGATGTCATACAGCCATGGAATTTATACCAATGTTAGCGCACATTATCGCTAATGTTTCTGCAAAATTTCATCATAGGTTAAATAGTAGAATACTAAACTCACTTAGTATTAGAGCATGTTTGCATGCTACCAAAAATAGAGAAATAGAATTTGTGATATAAACATTATAATTGTCCCAAAAATAATAATTTACTTAACAATATCTTATAAATTTACATTCATTATAAAAGCACTACAAAGTATAAAAAAAATTTTACTTAATTGCTGAGTTATTGAATTTTGAAAATTGTCTAGCATTTTGACAGATCATTGTAATTACTATTACCATTGCCAAATTACTATGGAAACATAAATTTTGTCTAAAAATAAAGAAACATTAAAAACCCATTGACTCTATATGTTAACAAAGCATCAAAAGGAAAATATCATTGTTTTCAAGGGTGGATTGGGCCATTTTTATGAATAATTTTAAATTGCAAGAATATACTGCAATCTACAGAGAATATAATCTTAATTAATAATCAATGTAACATCAAGTATTTATTTTTAACTTGCCTGTCTTGGGCATTCATAACATGCTTTCTTTAAATGCAATTTTTTGTGGGAAAATAATTCCTGCCAAAGATTTCTATGTCTCGCATATTTACTTGTGTGACCCAAACTTTTCATCACCAACCCGCCAAATGTCAACCACGAAAGTATGGAACTTTGGCGCTGGTCCTGCTCAGAGGTCCTCAAGCCGAATTTCTCGATTTCAACAATACCGGAATGTTGTCAGTCCTCGAAATCTCTCATCGTTCCAAAACTTTTGATAACCTTCTCAAAAGACCAAGAATGATTTACAATAATTGTTAAATATTCCAGAAAACCACAAGATAGCTATTCATACAGGGAGGCGGCCATACCCAATTTTCGGCTGTCGTATATAATCTCGTAGCCGCAAAGAGGGCAAAAACGGGCGATTATTCATGAAGACCCACCAGTGGACTATGTAATCAACGGATCATGGTCATCGGTGGCGAGGCGAAAAGATTATATGCAAACGCAGATGCTGCCTACGTATTACTGCGATAACGAAACAATCAATGGGTTGAATTCCTCTACATTCCCAACATTGATCCTTCCGTGCCACTCGGTGTGACATGTCTTCGAATATACTCTCGCGTAAATTCGATGTTAGTAAATTTGGCGTGATCTATGCGGAGCTCAGAAGAATGTTGGACCGGCCGGCTGGAATTACCATTGTGATCGTGAGAGAAGATTTATTGGTTGATCAGCAAAAGACTGTTGTCGAGCATAGTGCTGGGAGTAGTAGCATGTTACTAGTATGTTGGATTACAAATCATGGCAGATACAGATTCGCTATATAACACACCTCGTATTTGCAGTGTATATGGCGGGATTAGTGTTCGAGTATTTAATAGCACGAGGTGGAGTTCAGGAGATTGAGAAAGCTAATGAGAAAAAGGCTAAACTGCTGTATGACTATATCGATCAATCAAAAATCTACCAATCGCATATTGATCCAAAAGTGCGATCGAGAATGAACGTGCCATTCAGAATAAACCCACCCGAATTGGAGGCGCAATTCTTGGCAGGTGCTGAAGCTTTGAGGATGTATCAGTTGAAGGGACATCGTAGTGTTGGCGGCCTTAGGGCCAGCATTTATAATGCCATGACATTAGAGGGCGTAACTGCGTTGATTGATTACATGAAAGCATTTGAGAAAAAACATTCAGCATAAAATAAAAAACAATTCGAGATCTTTATTTATAATGTGACACAAAACATTGATTGATAAGTAATGAAATAGTTGCAATCTGTGTCGACAAGAATCATCTGCGGAGTGCCATATGACAAGCGCAAATTGTCAGAAAGCTTTGTACCCCGCGCCGTTATCGCTTCTTTGCTGGTCTGGGTTTAACATCATCCTCTTTTACACCGTGCAGATATACAATGTTCTGGTTCTGTTGGAACGATTGATAACCCTACATTATAAGAAATCGGAATAAACAAAAGTTAGTGAAAAAGGGTTTAATGATCGGAGACCTTCAATACACATATCATTGATTTCTTAATAATACTACTTACCTTACTCCAATCGTAGGCTGCGGCATAAGCAAAGAATGTACCATTTCTATTAAAAGTAGTAGCAGAGATAGGACTTCCAATATTGGAAAAGCCTTTGAGTCTCTGCTTCGAATCTTTATCCCAGAAATTAAATGTACCATCACTGCCAGCAGTTGAGAATGTGCCATGCAAGGGATGGAATGAGATTGCATTCACTGAATATACATTACTGCCCTCTCGGTGGCATTTGAACGAGAAGCTTGAACTTGAATAATAAAGAATATTAATTAATACCATACATTTTACGCGATTGAAATATTAACTTGTAGTAACATGAAAACATTCATCTACTTACTGTCCATCTTTGTCGTCGAGATATTGTATCCCGACTCTTCCTTCGATACTTCCAATAGCATAGCCGGTTGCGTTTACGAAACAGGAAATCACTCTAGTTTGATATTTCAAGGGACTCGGTTGCGTCTGTAAGCCAAAATAAACAATGATTGAAATGATGTTAGCAAACAGAACAATCTTACAAACTATGATGAATGACGTTTTTACCATATCTCACTACGTCACCTTATATGGTGTACCTGGGTTTGCTATATTGTAAATTACAATATGCCTATCGGCTGTACCAATAACCAATAGGGGAGAAACTAGATCCATCGTGTAAACCCTGTCGGGCACATCAATGCTCAATACAGGATTCGGTGTTCGAGTATCCCAATACTTGACAGTTTTGTCCCAGCTTCCGGTGCAGACCAGATTATTTGGTTGATTATCTACCCATTTGATAGTCTTTATAGGAGCTTCATGTTGGGCAATTTGCATAGGCTGTTGTGTAGCTAGATCAAACAGTCGACCAGCCTTATCCGTGCCGCCCGAAACGAGTTTGGATCCATCCTAAACCGGTTGAAAATATAAAAAGAGATTAGGCATAAAACCGATCGGAAATTGCAAAGAAACAAAGGATTTCGCTTTCAAGTTTGTATTAATTAACTCACTTTACTCCATGCACAGCATAAAGCAGCACCGTCATGCTTGTATAATGCTTTGCCATACGCTGCTCCGGCTGCAGCATTTACTTCATATATTCTCACCTATAAGGAAATGACAATTACACAAATGTTAAACCGCAGTTATAACAAGAAGGAATTCGGCAACATTCTATGGTAGCATGTTTCATATTAACACTATAATACATTGTGATTTACTTGACTGTCAAGACAACTAAACAGAACCACTCCTTCTGGACCCGGCCATTAATCTTGAGACAATAACAACTCGTTTTGCAAGAGATCTTCGAACAGAACAAGATGGTATTTGTAGTCCCTCGCGGTCCTTTTTAATACATAACCACATTTAACATTCAATCGCAGTGTTATATAATAAAGGAATGTAAACCTTTACAGTATGTTTGCAGTCGGACTGCGATGAACACCATCAGTGGAGTGGGAGTGATTTGGGAGAAAGAGAGAGAGAGGTCGTCCATTGTTGTCTAAAGTCATAAGGGCATCATCACAAGATGGTAGTCTCATGTTAACCAAAACAACCGCCGCCGAATTCCATTGGTATTTAGGTCACATTTGTTGCTAATTGACTTACGGAAGTATCCCATGAAGAAACAGCAAGATAGTCTGCAACTGGCGAGAACGCCAGCGCGCTGATACCATCACCTGGTGGATCAGGTATCTAGATGAAAAGTGTGGGAGAGCAATGTTAGCAATAGTCAATTTTCTACTCACACATGCTTCATGCGATGATTAGTACGGCATTCTTACTCGATAATCTTTTGGCTGTTCAGAGTTTATCATTGTGAGTTATTTTGAATTTAGTGAGAGAAACGAGTAAGTTGTGATAGTAATAAGATTTATAATGATTGGCAAAATGTGAGAAACGAGTAAGTTGTGAAATACGCATTTATAATGATTGGCAAAATGTCGTACGTGTGTAACATTAATAATTGCGCAGCGTGCGCAGTATGGCGTAGCTTTCGATATTAATGTAAAAACTGCGGGGACTGCATTAATAATAAATCATTTGTCGATTAGAGATATACATAACATAACAAAAACTTTGTATTCATCACCTTATCAGCCAGCAAAATTCACAGATTTTACCCAAGGATACTCATCCGCTGACTAATCGATTTCTTACAAATCAATATTATCAGGAATTTACCTGCCAGGTCGCACAACCCGACACGTCGTACAGTCCATAATATTTCTATTTATGGAGGAGAAGCCATCTAAGATTTGAGCCTGCACGACCTGGCAGGTAAATTCCTGATTATCAAATCAATCACATTAGTAATATCAGTGAATTTAAAATATTTTTAAGATAGGGTTACCCTTTAAGATAATAATAACACAAATTAAAATGTAATATGTTTATCCTGTGTATCAATCAATAATAATAACAGATCACATCACTGACATGGGTGCATAATATAATATGTAACTTATAAAATTTCTGTTAACATACATAAAAGCTCATTGTTATACAACTTACCATATGTGTTCATGTATTTATACTACAGGAACAGGCAAGCAATAAAACCTTGTGGTAGTTACTTTCTTCACCTTATTCTGTTCTAATTGTGCTGTAATTTTGGATATTATTTCTGGACAAGTAATGTCTTTGAATTTATCTCCTAAAATTTTATAATGGATATTCTAGTTTTTGTACTCAAAGAAGTTCAACATACAGTAGACTCTCCCTAAGTGCAGCACTGATGGGACCATATGGCCAAATCAGACACGACCTGCATTTATAGAGAGTGAAATACTTGATGGTCTTATAATTTCGGGACCAACCAGAGCCTGCATTTAGGGAGGGAAAATATAGTGCCTGCACTTAGAGAAGTTGCACTTAGGGAGAGTCCACTGTACAAATAAACGGAAAAAAAATACATATTTACTTCTAGTTTTACAGTAAAAACACCATTAGTATTAGCTACTGTCTGCGTTTGGCAACTTTACGATTGGCAGTTTCAAAAAAATACCGATTTCTTAAAGAAAATTTTCAACACGGAATTAAAATCCGGCCTTAATTTTTTCCTCATCAGCTTTCGGTATAATTTCTTCATCAAATGCATATTCATTGCTAACCTATTATTAAGTGACATTACTGAAATAAAACTCATCGTTTATTATGTTGGTTGAGTGATTTAGTCTTTAGCCTAATCTCGTCTGATTTTTCTGAACGAAAACGACTCTTTCAGTGATAGCCCTGCAAGAAACTATATCAGAACAACAACTGGAGTTTAATTGATAGATTGCTTTGGCTTAATTAATTAATAACATGCTTGGCCATCTGTTTACAGAAAAATGAACAAGATTAAAGGCTAAAAATTTATCCACTTGTTTATTATATTCTGGATAAACTCCAGCTGTTAGTTGTTGAACTGTCAACTAGTTGTTATTTTTGCACACTGTAAATGGTCGTCTTATATTTGTCTCAATGAACTATTATTATGATTGTCCTTGATATTGTGTGTACATGAAATTAACTGAGAATTTTTTAAATTCTGAAAGCTGGATAATACTGTATGTGGTCTATATGCAAGTAATAGTAATCCTATACAATAATTTAACAATCGCATAAAAAAACTCCAACATATGTAATCCCCATGAAATGCACCCTCCGCCAGTTTCAGAAGGTAGATTTTGATTTATACCTGGGTACTAATATAATAACAATATTTTTTGCCTTTTGATTTGTAGCTCATTCTGTATTTTTCTGTTGAAAGTACATAGATACACACTTAGCATAATGATCAATACATACATAAGCCAATTACATTGACAATAATCAATGGTCAAAGTTCATTGAAAATACTGTGCATTGAGGTGGATGTAACATAGGACCATTGAAAAGTTACTTACATAAACGATTGATATTGAATTGGTTCTATTTGTAAGGGGAAGTGGCTATTCCCAAATATTATCGCTTGTAACTACATCACACTTTTTTCTCGGACAGATGTACCCTGATCAATACGGTGTACCCCCCTACTACAGGAGCACCCAGGACAGGAAATCAATTAGGGAAATACCCCGGGTACATATGTTGGAGTTTTACGGTAACCTTGATGACTAAAATGTATGCTGCAATTGATAACTCAAAATACTGCGTACTGTATAAGTTTCATGTAGGTGGAACGGGATCATGTGTGTTGTATTACGACGTATATGTTCTTATAATAACTTGATATTAATGTTATTAGTATAATATATAAACTGCTGTTACAAGTTTTTGTTAAGGTTAAAACTGTAGTAATAAAAAGACAATTAATTCTTATTGTTATGCCAAAAGTCTTATGTTATTATTGTACTAGTATATTAACTACCGAAGAGTCAATGATAGCCAGCAGCTATGATTGCGACTTGAATCCCATTCCGCACATACGATGTAGATGACGCATATCGTACAATGATACATATATATTTTTATGAATGGCAATTGACGTTTGTCCAAATGCTTGGATAAAAAAAAATTTTTTTTTCTTATCAAGATTCCGACCTCTTTTTTTAACACTAACCGTAACCCTTTGTCTTTACGTGTTCGGAAATGATTGACCCCTAGTTGTGTCATCCTATCCAAAATAGAAAACACAGTGAAAATGTAGTGACCAATAAGAACATGCCATGTAATCCGATTTACCATTGA